TCCCCAAGAACCCTTCCACAGGTCGGAGCTGGACTCTGTCAGACTCCCACACAGCTCAGTTATAATTTATTTTATTTTGTGTGTTTAAGTGTTTTGCCATCAAGGATGTATGTGCACCACATGTATGCTTGATGCCTGTGGAGATCAGAAGAGAACATTGGATGTCCTGGAACTGGAGTTTCAGATGGATGTGGACCACCATGTGGGTGCTGGCAAGCCAAAACTCAGATCTTCTGCAAAAGCAAGTGCTCTTAATTGCTGAGCCTTCTCTCCTGCCCACTTACTACGATTTTTCTTTTCTTGAATGTAAAAACATTCTATGTACAACTGCAGGAGAAATAATACACAGATAGCTTGAACATAAAAATAGGTTAGAATTAAGAAGTCCAGGGTTATTTGAAACGATTTTTCCTATGTTGTTTGTTTTAGAGAAAGTCTTACCACTTAGCCCTAGCTAACTTGGAACTTGCTACGCTGACCAAATTGGCCTCAAACTTGCAGTGATCCTCCTGCTTCTGCTTTATGAATGCTAGGGATACAGATATGTGCCACCACACTTGGTTTAGGGGAGAGTTTTTTATTTTTTAGTATTTATTTCCGGCTGGGAGGTGGTGGCACACGCCTTTAATCCCAGCACTCGGGAGGCAGAGACAGATGGATCTCTGTGAGTTCGAGGCCAGCCTGGTCTACAGAGCGGGATCCAGGTTAGGCACCAAAGCATCAAAACTACACAGAGAAACCCTGTCTCAGAAAAAAAAAAAATGCTGGGCAGTGGTGGCTCATGCCTGTAATCCCAGCACTCAGGAGACAGAGGCAAGCAGATCTCTGTGAGTTTGAGACCAGCCTGACCTACAAAGCAAGTTCCAGAACAGCCAGACTGTTATACAGAGAAACCCTGTTTCAAAAACCAAACAACAGCAACAAAAAAGAAGTTCAAGGTTATCCATAGTTATGTAGTGAACTGTAGGCCAGTCTGAAAGCCATGAGGCTATGTAATAAATACTCCTTCCTGTGGGAGGCAAAGGCAGACAGATCGATCTCTGTGAGTTTGAGGCTAGCCTGATGTACACAGCAAGTTCCAGGACAGCCAGGGCTACATAGTGTAACCTTGACTAAACAAATAAACACAACAAAAACAGATCTCTCCTTTTTGTTTATCGTAGGAAGCAGGTTTGGAGTTTCTCAGACAGTCTCTGGGTAAGGCCCTGCCTGAAGCCCTGCAGTCCTGAAAAGGGACAGCAGATAGTCCTTTTTCCCCAAGGGCCAGCATTCACACTGAGTGACTTCTGCGGCTGGTTCCTGGTGACTAAGCTAAGTCAAGATGAGTCACTGATAACACAGAAGGGCTCTTTTCCCTGCGGTCTTTTACAGGGCTGGCCCTGGCCACGCCACGGAAGAGTTGAACTCCCCACTAGGCCAAGGATGACTTTTGCTTAGGGCTTTTTGTTTGTCTGTTTTGAGACAGGGACTCACTACATAGCCCACACTGGCCGGGAATTCCCTATGTAGACCAGGCTGACTTGGAACTCACAGAGCTCTGCCTGCATCTGCCTCCACCACATAGCGCCTTGTTTGTTTTTCAGACAAGGTTTCATGCGGCTCAGGCTAAGCTCAAACACATGAAGTAGCCAAGGTTGGCCTTGATCTTCCTGCCTTTAACTCTCAAGTGCTGAAATTATAGGTGTGTACTAGCATGTTGAGATGGGTCCTAGAGAGTGAAGTTAGGCAAGCGCTATCCCAGTGAGTTTATCCCTCAAGTTGAACTTGTCTTGACATTTGTGACTGCTAAGTGAGGAGCTAGAATTCAGATCTGGAAGGAGAGTGCTCTGTTCTGCGATATCCTCCAAGCAGATGCCAGCCTGGTTTACATAGTGAATTCTAGATCAGCCAGGAGTACAGAAAGACCCTGTCTTACAAAAATAACAACAACAACAACACACAGACACACAGACACACACACACACACACATACACAGACACAGACACACACACACACACACACACACACACACACACACATATGCATGCACAAGATCCCCCCTAAAACAACAACAACAACAACAACCTAACAAACCTGAACAAACAATGAAAATTCAGGCTGTTGAGGTGGGCCAGTGGGTCAAGTCATTTGCCCACCAAGCCTGATGACCTGAGATAAATCTTCAGGACCCTCACAGTGGGTCCAACTCCACAAAGCTGTCCTTTGACCTCTATATGAGTGCTGTGGTATATGTATGTACTCATGCTTCAAAAGAACAATTAACTTAAATTCTGAGCTTCACTTTCCTTATCTGTAAAATTAGGCAATTTAAAGATATTAGCCCCTCAGGTTGAGGTGAGTGTAAAATGAGATGGTCTGTAGAAAAGCATCCAGCACCATGCCTGGTAGTGGTTCCTGACTAAATGAGAGCTGGTATTATTTTTTTTAATATTTTAAAATTTATTTTAGAAGCCAGCAGTGGTGGTACACACTTTTAATCCCAGCAAGTGGATCTCTATGAGTTTGAGGCCAGCCTGATCTACAAAGCGAGTTCCAGAACAGCCAGGGCTACACAGAGAAATCCTGACTCGAAACACCCACCCCCCAATTTATTTTACAGTTTATTTATTGGTGTAGATGTTTGTGGGTATACATGCATGTGCTGTGGCGGAGCATGCAGAGGTCAGAGGACAACCCACAAGCGTCAGTTCTCTGCTTCCACCATGTAGTTCCCAGGGATCCAACTCAGGTCATCAGGCTTGGTGGCCAGTGCCTTTACTCACTGAGCCAAATCTCCAGCCCTGTAGATGTTATTAAAAAATATTAGGTTTTCTAGCCTAGATTTGGGTTTTTTGAGGTACAGTTTCAGTATGTTGCCCAGGTTGGCCTCTGGCTCCTCCTTCAGTCTCTCCAGTAGTGGGATTTACCTAGCTAGATGCCTGGCCTTTGAAGAATTCTAGCATGAGCCACAGATAGGCCTGTAAGTGAAAACTTTCAGGACAAGGGGTAAAAGCTATAATGGAAATAATGTGGATGCAGTGCTAAGGGAGTGATAGGGTGATCACAAAAAAAAAAAAAAAACCCAAAAAACAAAAAAAACCCAAAAAACTACACTGAGGGGCTGGAGAGATGACTCAGCCATTAAAGGCTAGGCTCACAACCAAAAATATAAGAGTTCGGTTCCCAGCACCCACGGCTGTCTCTCCAGTCACCAAGGAAAAAAAAAAAAAACTACACTGAGGCTGAGGCCCTCGGACAGTGAAAGAATGTGGGGTTCAGGTAGGAGCTGTTAGGATGAGGCTAGCTCCATTGTATGCTGGGCGCTAAACTAGAAGGTTTTTTAAATTTTATTTATTTATTTTTTTATGTCAGTTGGTGTTTTGCCTGCATGTATGTCTGTGTGAGGCTGTCAGATCTTGGAGTTACAGACAGTTGTGAGCTGCCATGTGGGTGCTGGGAATTAAACCTGGGTCCTCTAGAAGAACAGCCAGTGCTCTTAACCGCTGAGCCATCTCTCCAGCCCCTAAACTGGAAGTTTTAAAGCTTTCCAAAGTTTTATGCAGAGTAACAGCAGATTGGTATTTAGAAAACTTCCATTGATGTTGCAGTGCCATCTGGCAAACTAGCCCCGGGAGCAGCCGCGGGCAGGCTGTGCACAGGAATCATGGCGATCGTGGCCAGGCATGGTGCTGTACTCTGGTAACCCCAGTACTGGGGAGGCTGGAGTGGAAGGATCTTGAGTCAGCCTGGGCTACAGAGTAAGATTTCATTTCAAGCAGGGCATCATTGGTGGCTTGGGAGGTAGAAGCAGGCAGATATCTAAGTTTGAGGCCAGCCTGGTCTACAGAGTGAGTTCCAGGGCAGCCAGGGCTACACAGAGAAACACTTTCAAAAAAAAAAAATCATTTAAAAAAATTGAAGAGGGCCGGGCAGTGGTGGCGCATGCCTTTAATCCCAGCACTTGGGAGGCAGAGCCAGGCGGATCTCTGTGAGTTCGAGGCCAGCCTGGGCTACCAAGTGAGTTCCAGGAAAGGCGCAAAAATACACAGAGAAACCCTGCCTCGAAAAACTGAAAAAACAAAACAAAACAAAAAAATTGAAGAGAGATGATCATGATCACAAAGAGAGTGAGTGCGGAGATACCCATCGCTACAGCTGAAAACTGAGACGGCTCTGGCTGGGGGACATGGGAACCTCAATAGGGAGAACTCCATTCTTTTGCCTGTCTGAACATTTTGCTTTCTTTGCATTGAGTACCCTTCCTCACTTGCCATTCAACACCCCACCATTCAACCTGTGCCACCTCATCTGTGGACCCCTGTTTGTTGTTATTTGTTTAGGTTTTGTAAGGTAGGGCCTCAGACTCGCAGTAATCCTCCTGTCTCAGTTTCCCAGGTGTTGGGATTACAGTCTTGAGTCACTTTACCCCGTCCTTTGGATCCCTCTACAGACTACTTAGTGGATTTCTTTGTATCCCTGTTCCCCATCACAGCCTTTGGCGTTCCTTTGTCATTAATTGTTTCCTGGTTCCTCCCACTGGTCTGTGAATTCGGTGACTTACGGCCCAGTCTGGGTCACCACTGCACCTGCAAGGCAAATGCAATGTCTATGACTGTTACTGAATAACACGAACTTCAGCTGGCCTCGGGGGAAACTGAAGACAACAGAAAAAAAAAAGACCAGCTTGTCAGGGAGCTTTGACAGAGGCTAACATCTTGGAACCCCACCGTCTTTTCTACTCCAGTCTTTGTATTGGAGTTGCTACCTGTAGGTCCTGGGCGAAAGACCTCCACCACCAATCTTGTCAAACACAGATCAGTCAGCCTAGACACTGAGGCTCCGCCCCTTAGCCCTAGACTCCGCCTCCCCATCCTCGGCGGTCAGAGTTTGGACCAGGAGGCGACGCCCATGAAGCCGCATGCGCACTGCGGGCCCCAAGGACTCCGTTTCCCTTCTCCCAATGGCGGGCGGCGGTCCCCTTCCCGGCAGCCTCCCTCGGGTAGAGAGCGCGTCATTTCCGGTGGGGAAGGCCCGCGGCCGCCGCCGCCATTTCGGGCGCTGCTGGGAGCCTGACACCGGAGCCGGTCCGCTGGGCGGCGGGCGCCAGGGCTGGAGGGGCGCGCGTGGCGGCGGCGGCCCAGCGTGAAGGCGCGGAGGCGGCCATGGCGGGCAACTTCGACTCGGAGGAACGGAGTAGCTGGTACTGGGGCCGCTTGAGCCGGCAGGAGGCGGTGGCGCTATTGCAGGGCCAGCGGCACGGGGTGTTCCTGGTGCGGGACTCGAGCACCAGCCCCGGGGACTATGTGCTCAGCGTCTCCGAGAACTCGCGTGTCTCCCACTACATCATCAACAGCAGCGGCCCGCGCCCTCCAGTGCCTCCGTCGCCCGCTCAGCCTCCGCCGGGTGAGGGACAGACGGGCGGGAGGCTCCGGGCGGGGATGAGGGCCGTGGAACTCTGTTCTGCTTCAGGAGGAGAGACGTGGGCAGAGAGGGCAGCAGTGACCCTGGCGGGGGAGCTGCCTTCAGCTCCAGCTGGTTCCCACCGACAAGCGGGGTTGTGGGGGAGGAGGAGCTGCTTACCGAGGCCTCTGGGTGTGCCTTGGGAGCCGGGGAAGGGGAACTGCTGCGGCCCCGGGGTGGGGCTGAGCGCCAGGGTCAGGCCCAAGGGCAGGGCAGGGCCGGGCAACTTGGGCAACTTGGGGACAAAGAGTTAATGGGGATGTTGCGGGGACATAATTTGGCAGAGGTGCCCAGAATGGATCTGCTAATTCTACAAGTGGCTTTCAGGCTTGAGACGTTTCCTGCAGTGTTAGCGCCGGGTTTGGCCATCCTCCCCTGGTGGCCTTCGGTAGGAAGTCACCACGTACTGGCTGGCTGGGAGGGATGGAGACACCCTCAGGAAGCCGGTCGGTTTTTTCCTTTCTTGGGCATTTTTCCAAAATCTTTTTACCGTGCTCTTCCCTTGTGGAATACGAAGGTGGTGAACTAAGTGAGTTGGTAATAGAAAAAAGCCTTCTGTGACCAGCCTAGCGTAATTGAAGCCTAGCTGGCAAACTGTGTTCAAGAGGTTTTAAGTGTCCAAAGGATTGCCTGCTGCAACTAGAGTTTCTAGTTTCAAAGTGATTAGTGGAAGAAAGATTTTTTTTTTCCTTCAGAAAATAAACCAGGTATAAGCCAATGAGAACAATCCTGGAAGTGAATGGAGCGTCATTCTCCCTGGGTTTAAACAGTGTCTTGTCATGTACTTCTGGATCTTTTCTTGCTCAGTGAGTTGGTGCTGTGGTCAAAGTCTTCCAGGATACAAGAACAGACCTGGCTGGAAGATAACACGAAGAATTTTGGTTATACCACTGGGTCTTCCTTGTCAAGGATCATTGAATTCTAACTGTCTTGCCCGTGTTATTAGAGTTTTCTTGGCAATGATAAGGAAATCCATGCACTTAGTACTTGAGGTTTCTGAGTTGCAAAGTCACCTTTGTCTGTGTATGTATGTAATACCACCAAGCTTCTTGCTTTCTGGATGTTTGAAGTGCAAGCCTTTTCCTCTCTAGATCTGAGCCAGTCTCGTGAATGAAGACTCCGTGGCTAACCTTAGCAGACCTGCCCTTTTAGGATAGTCCTGACTTAAGTTAACTCAGTTTGGCCAGAAATGAGGAGGTAGGCTAGACAGTCCTTCTTGTTAGCACACAAGTTAAGGGAAAAACTGAGTATTGAGATCTTTTTAGTTTACACATTTAGATCTTTCTAAGTCTTGTAGGTTTAATAATATAAGATAGGAATATTAATATAGCATATTTGCCCTAAATAAGATAAATTCTATTTTTTGTGCTATCTGCAAGATAACCCATTGTTCTGTGTTAAGAGCCATACTAGGATGGTGTGTTATCATTGAGATTCAGTTCTCAGCCCCTTTCGTAGTTCATGCTTCTGATCCTAGCACCTAGGAGGCTGAAGCAAGATGACTTTACAAGTTCCAGGCTATCCTGGAGAACTTAGTAATACTCTGCCTCAAAATAAAAAGTAAGGTTAGTGGATGGGACTAGGGATATAGTTCAGTGGTAGTTTATTTGCCTAGCATTTGGGCAGCCTAGGTTTTATTCCCAATAGTGGGGTAGAAAATTTCAGTCCTCAGCTTTCTCTGTGTGTGTTTTGTTACAAAATTTGGGAATAGCAGCAGGCAGGTTTGTTAGTTTGATTTTTCTCTATACCTGGTCATTGTGGTTTTATATCTTAGCAGCTCCACCTTTTCAAAATAGATGGTTGGCCTAAGCGAGGAGCTTGCCAGTTTGTGGGTGAGGTGTGGAAAGTTTATTGGCATTGTGGCAATTGTACCCCATTTTCTCTATGGGCAGTCAGTTCACTTACTGTCTTTACTTTATGATGGTTACTTAATCTTTGTTCTCCCCATTAAGCTCTTTTTTTTAAAGCCACACAGGAATTACCTGAGTTTTAGAGAGGCATATATAATATTAATAGTTAACAGTTATTGACTGGTTATCGTATGCCAGATGCTTTGCTGAGTGCTTTGTGTGTCTTATATACGTGGCTGCCAGTAACAGTATAGTGAGTGAAATACTGCAGTTTCCATTTACTAAAATACTCACAGTTTTCGGATGAGGAACTAGAAATCCAATAACTTGTAAGGTCATACATGCAGTCTATAACTAAACCAGAATTTGAGCTAGACAGTGTGACCTGAGAACTGACCCAACCCTTCATTATATAGTTTTGTTATTCTTTGTTTATTTGTTTGGGATCCCTGAAGTGTACACAGGAAACTCCATTCTTTTGTTGTGAGACAGAGGCTCACTGTGCAGCCCTAACTGGCCTGCAACTGTCTATATAAACCAGGCTGACTTTGAAAAATCCTCCTGCCTCTACCCAGCTCATAATTTTGAATAAACAAACAAACAAACAAATAAATAAATAAAAGAGCCAGCAGGATGGCTCACTAGGTAAAAGCACGTGTCTTGAAAGCCCGAGGATCTGAGTTTGATTCTTGGATCCCAAGGTAGAGTAAGAAAATCAACTCGTAAGGGTTGTCCTCTGACCTCCCCACACCTACATCATTCATGCATACATCATGCACTTGTGCGCACGTGTGCACGCACACACACACACACACACACACACACAGTAAGAGGCATGTGGGTAAGATAGGCCAGGGATTGTCACCTTATCCCAATAACTGTTTGTTTAAGATGGAATAATTTTGTAGCTCTAACATGGGACTCACTATGTAGATAATGCTAATGTCTAACTTACAAAGATCCTGCCTCTGCCTTGATGTTGGGATTATAGGCCTGAGACATTAGGCCCAGCTCAGTGACCCTATTTGAACTTAGCATAGATCTTTAGCTCCCACAGATGATCTCCTATACTGCTATAGCCTGGGAGCATCTTGACTCTGCCCCAGAGTCATAGGGGAAAGTTTGTTCAAGTTTACTGCTCATATTCTGTAAGGTTGGGCTTCAAGAGGAGCCTCTTGGGAAGACTTGGAACAATTGATCCACTAATTTCTTCTGTTTGAAACAGTAAAGACTAGATTTTTGACTGATAGAGTTCTAAACTGAATGAGAAGGTGGGAGTGTACCTCAGTTGATAGAATTCTTTATTCTAGTAAGACTGAAGGCTCCAATTTCAGTCCCCTGCATCGCACAGACCAGGCTTAGTGGCACAGACCTGTAATCTCAGCACTTGTGAAGTGGAGGTAGAAAGTTCACAGTACAAATCATCTCTGCCTATGTAGTGAATTGGAGGCCAAAAACCAAACTTGAATAGAGTGTGTGTGTGTAATCTAAAGACAGGGTCTCATTATGTAAGTCTGTCTGGCCTCCAACTCAGAGAGGGCCACTTGCCTCTGCCTGGGATTAAAGGTGTGGGCCACCACACTGGACATACATATTCTAGTGACAAGTAAGACTGGGTTCCAATTAGTTATCTGCCACTTCTTCTATGTGGTTACATTTATTTTTGTTTCATGTGTGGTGTTTTGCCTGCATGTATGTTTGTGAAGATGTTGGATTCCCTGGAACTGGAGTTACAGACAGTTGTGAGTAGTCACATGGGTGCTGGAAATTGAACCTGGGTCCTCTGCAAGAGCAGCCAGTGCTCCTAACCACTGAGCCATCTCTCCAGTCCCACCTGCCACTTCATACTCACTTTGGGTGATTTTTTTTTTTTCTAAACTTTGCTTTGCTTTGGTTTCTTCTGTGAAAGTTTAAAAAATAGCAACACCTCATAGGGTGGGCTGTTACAATGAGTAAATGGATTCAAATATATAAAATACTTGAATGTGGCAGGCATATTAAGTAAATACCCAGGTTATAATTATTAAGAATATAATGATGTGCAGGGCGTGGTGGCTCATGCCTTTAATCTAAGCACTCAGGGAGGCAGAGGCAGGTGGATCTCTGAGTTTGAGGCTAGTCTTATCTGCAGGGTGAGTTCTAGGACAGCCAAGGCTACATCGAGAAACTTTGTCTCGAAAACCAAAAAAGAAAAAAGAAAAAATATAATGATGTTAGAAGGTAGTTCTGAAAGGCTTTTTGGCATGCACAGTGTGGTTGGTAAACACAGGACCACTTAGGGAGTAATGCTGAGTAGAAAGGAGTAGAGTGCTTGAGGTGTGAAAAGGCCTTGGGTCTAGTCCATGGAAACAGCATTGTAATTGCTGTTACCTGTACAATTGAAGCTTTCCACCTGTTGTCTAGAGGGTGAGGGAGCCTCAGAGCTTTCCTTGGGCTGGGGATGTAGCTTACTGATACAGTGTTTGCTTAATACACACTGTGATCATCTTAATACAAGGCTGTGATCATCTTACCTCACTTTGGAGATGGGTGGTCAGGGTATCCCTCTAATCTAATGGTTCCAGAGAAGTTCTTTCTTGTCTTTCTTTTTTAAAAATTTTCTTTATTTTTATTTTACATATATGATTGTTTTGCCTGCAAGTATATAAATATACCACGTACATGCAGTGCCTGCTGAGACCAGAAGAAGGTGTTATTAGATCCTCTGGAACTGGAGTTACACATGGTTGTGTACTACCATGTGAACGCTGGGAACTGAACCCAGGTCCTCTGCAAAGCAGCGTGTGCTCTTAACTGCTGAGCATCTCTCCTGCTGCTCTCCAGAGTTCTTTAGTAGTTACGAGAGACTTCATGCAAAAAAAAAAAAAAAAAAAAAAAAAAAAAGTCCCATGGTCAGATAGAACAGGTTTATTCACTGTAAGAGTTGCCACCAGCTTTACTGTGCTCCTGTGAATTGCAGATTTCCAGGAGAGAATTCTGAGTTTGTTGGACCTATCCGACTGTTCTGCTCTTGAGAGTTATCAAGATAGTGTGGAATCTTCTCTGGCAGAAGTGTAATTCAAAGAATTTTTTGGGTGAATTGAAATTTTCTTG